GACTACATGACTATATGGTTCTATTTCCAGAAAGTTCAAATACAAGCAAAACTGACCTGTAGTGTTAGAATTCAAGAGTAATGGGAAGAAGACTGGGAAGATGCAGGGACTCTGGGGTGCTGGTAATGAACTATTTCTTATACATTCTCGTACACTTGTACTTCAATAAAAAGTTAACTTTAAAGCAACTCTGTTCTCTGAAGACTAGGGCTTCAACATGCTCTAGTCTTATGGCTACCTACTACACTTGCTCTACCTTGCTTTCTATGGACTACGTGGGCCTACTAACTCTGTAATTCAATAAACTACCTTCAGTCCTCAGTAATTTCCTGGTATATAATTAACATATGTTTAATATACATTTAATTAATTATTTGAACAAGCTATTGTTAACTATTAGAATTCAACATCCTAATATACATTGATATCCTTCTTGGATTCTAACAAACCCTAGCAAACTACAAAGGCAGATCTGCTTTAAGAAAATTCAACACATCTCCAGCCTGAGCAACATGACAAAACCCCATCTCTACAAAAAATTTAAAAATTAGCCAGGTACCGTGGTACATGCCTGTAGTCTCAACTACTGCAAGGGCTGAGTTGGGAGGATCACTTGAACCAAGGAGGTTGAGGCTGCAAATGAGCCATGATCACACGACTGCACTCCAGCCTAAGCAACAGAGCAAGATCCTGTCTCAAAATACCCAGGGCGTAGTAAACATTACAAAAGTGATACATTCATCAATTCAAGACAAAAATCATTCACGCTGTTTAACGGGGGAGAGCACGGGGGACAGGGGATGGAGGATGACAGGGATGATGGGATGACAGACAACACAGTGTATATATTTTTAACCACTTACCCACAAACCTGATACTTAACAACAACAAAACTGGTACTACTTATAACCACTAAAATGTATCTGGGCGTCAGTAAAGATTTGGAGACACCTGTTTAAAAACGTTACCAGAAAGAATATCAGAGAGTGAACTGAATTGCAGACAGAGGTGTAAATTATTCAACGAAACACATACTGAAAATTGTCAGGCTCTGTGCAGATACACAGAGACGAATGTACATTTCTTTTCTCCTTAGTCTGGGAAGAGCAAGAATAGCACTTTACAATTAAAACGATGCATTCACTAATGGGACATTAAACTAGATATTTAGACTCAATGTCCTCAACTGTAAAACGGGGATAGCTGTTAGGGTTATTCTCAGGAATGAATTAGTCAATATAAAGAGTTTAAACAAGTTCCTTACACAGAGTAAGACTATGTAAGCATTGACTATTTTAATCCTTAAAAAATAATCTGGGAAAAAGGTGTTAACAACTCAACGAGGAAAAGACAGTGTTTTTGATAGACAAACTGGTGTTGGAAAAATTGGATATCCACATGCCAAAAAATAAATTGGACCCTAACTTTACAACATATACCAAAATTAACTCAAAATGGATCAAAGACCTAAACTTAAAAGCTAAAACTATAAAACTCTTAGCTGAAAACATAGGGAGAAATCTTCATGACGTTGAATCTTGTAATGATTTCTTGAATATGACACCAAAAGCACAGGCAACAAAAGTATAGATAAATTGGACTTCATCAAAATTAAAAACTTGTGCATTAAAGGACACCATCAAGAAAAAGACAACCCACAGAATGGGACAAAGTGTTTGCAAATTAAATATTAACATCCATAATATATAAAGAACTCCTGCAAATCAAAAGATGAATGCGTAAACAAAATTTGCCATATATATAAATGGAATACTTTATGCAGTTATAAAGAATGAAATTCAGAGACATCCTAAAACATGGATGAACCTTGAAAACACTACGCTAAATGAAGTCAAAAGGAAAAATACTGTTACAATTTCACTTAGGTGCCCCAAATTGGCAAATTTATGGAGATGGAAATCATAATAGAGGTTACCGAGGACATAAATGGAGAGGGGCAAGTTACTGGTTAATGGGTACAGCTTTGTCCCTTTGGAGAAGTGAGGACAGGGAGTCATTCTTTAATGGATATAGAATTTCTGTCTCAAGTTCTAGGAAACAGTGGTGGTGGTGGCACAACATTGAGAATGTAGAGTCATGCCTGGGTATCCATGGGGGGTTAGTTTCAGGACCTCCAGCAGGACACCAAAATCACAGATGCTCAAGGGCCTGATAGAAAATGGCACAGTATCTGCTTATAACCTGCGTCCATTCTCCCATATTCCTTACATGACATCTAGATTACTTATAATACTTAATGTAAATGCTATGTAAAACAGTTGTTATACTGTAGTGTTTAGAAAATAATGACAAAAGAAAAAGTCTGTACATTATCAGCACAAATGCAATGTTTTTCCCCAAATATTTTCTATCCTTATTTGGTTGAATCCATGGATACAGAGGGCTGGCTATCCTTAAGGCCAATGAATTATACTCTTAAAAATGGTTAAAATGGTCAATTTTATGTTATATATACATTATAAGCCACTAAAGATTATTACACAGGAGAACAATCTATGTATCATTTTAGCAAAATTTAGACTGAGAATGGATAAAGCATAGAGGTTAAGAAAAAGAAATAGTTTTAAAATAGGGTTGAAAAGGAAATGAAATAAGTGTTGGAGAAACTATGCCCTCAGTCTAAACTGGGACAGCATTAACTTTGATCTAAGAGGCTTCTTACAGGATTTCACTGAATGCAGTTGTGAGTCTAATACTGACCCCCATATACATACATCTGGGGTCCTACTGACAATGAGTTTAGACAGGATGTATTAATGGCCGGTATGTTCGAGGAACATTAAAGGTAAATACAATCTTACCAGATTTGTAAATGTAATATGAATACGCTTTTGAACTTAAAAGTTCTCTAAATTCAAACATTAACTTTCCCTCAGTTATTACAAAGAAAAATAATTTTAATTCCACTAAAATACCTTTTTAAATGTAACAGTTCTTTACCAATCAATGTCTGCAGTTATGCTTATATGACATCACATTGATGATAAAAAAAATTTCCTCCACAGCAATGTTTCCCCACTTTTCTCACTTCAACATTTATTTATTACCCTATTATCTCTCCCACCGCTATGGTAAGGGGGGAAAACAATCTATCATTGAAGGACAAACGTATAAAAGCTTCAACTGGCCAGAATTAGAAAAGTGAACTAAAAGTGAGACTCCTTATTGAAATCATATCCTCCATCTTCTACTGTGGCCTAGATACTTAATGTACTACAGGTATTCCCTTATTATTAAGAATATAGGGCTGGGTGAGGGGGCTCCCGCCTGTACTCAGTACTTTGGGAGGCCGAGGCGAATGGATCACCTGAGGTCAGGAGTTCAAGATCAGCCTGGCCAACCTGGTGAAACACGTCTCTACTAAAAATACAAAAATTATCTGGGTGTGGTGATGGGCGCCTGTAATCCCAGCTACTCAGGAGGCTGAGGCAGGAGATTCCCTTGAACCCAGAAGGCGGATGCTGCAGTGAGCCGAGATCGCACAATTGCACTCCAGCCTGGGCAACAAGAGCGAAACTCAGTCTCAAAAACAATAAAAAAAGAATACAGACATTACAAAATTGCTAAAAATGAGAAGACATATTTATAGAATTCTGACATTCCTTTTAGGTGTTTTAATATATATGACATCACTTATTCTTTTAAATTTGGTAAATGCAAAATTCCACATATCATACTCTAGTCCACCATATGAAATCCAGGGTGCTATCCTTTTTCAATTCGGTGTAAGAGAGACTGATCCAAAAATAAATCTTAACTTGTTTTCGTATCTATCTGCATCCATTCCCTAAAACGACATAATCCTAATGCCATCATTTATATACTGAACATTTAGTGAACCATGTACTAGGAACTATGTTTTTTGCTCTGAAGTCCAAAATACTGCCTTGTGTTTATATAGTTACCTGGAAAAGAAAGTGTGTTACATCAACAGTGATACCAGTAGTAGACTGCTCCAAGTTAGATGTATAAATAACGCCAAGGGGTCGCGCAAAATTAAACGGAGATCTCTAATACTTCTAAGTAAATACTATCGACATACAGGAGAGATCTGTGAAACACACACACACACACACACACACACACACACACTAGTGAAACCTTGGTTCCCAATGCCGTGTTCCAACATGACATTCTTACACAGGAACGTTATTACACATTCATTATAAAACATCCACCAGTTCTGCGACCTATAATTTTGCTGATATTTACCAAAGACAGTTAACATTTTTCAAGATCCCTGTCCTCTTAAGTGAAAAACAGAGCCTGGTCAAACTAAGACATCCGGCTAACCTGTCCACCTGAAATACACTACCTACGGACGGACTGTCGTGGGTGACCAGTTGCAATCGCACACACAGAGGAATCTAAGCTACAAGTTAGTGGCTTAACGAAAAACAAAGAAAGTTTAAAAAATTTTAAAAAGCACCCAAAACCAACGTTAACTTAGTTCAAAAGGCATTAGCAGAAATTTAGGACTAAGAGCTACGCTGTTAGTTGGATCGCCCCATCTCAATCTTCAAAGGCTTTAGAGAAATGCAGGTCATGAATCGAAGCGAAGTGTTCGGTGAATTAGGTTTTTGTAGCTCCGGGAGATGCAAATGACAGCTGGCTCCGCAGGAAGAAGGGGTCAGGCTCGGGCAAGGGTGGCTGTGGAGACTCCCAGAGACAGGAAGGAATAGGGGCGGACCACCCCCAAGAGCAGAGTTTGTCGGAAGATTGAAAAGGAGCAGGGGACGAATCTCCTGAGCTGGGGAAGCTGGCCAGCCTGGCCTCCGTGCCCGCCCGGGAGACCCCTGTGAATAAATGGGGGCTCGCACCCGAGAAATGAGGCCTAATTCCGGCAGCTGCCTGGGGCTGCGGCCACCGCCGGACATTCCAGAGCAAGAGACAGCGGCTAGGAAACCAGGGCCGACAAAGAGTGAAAGGAAAGCACAGAAGGGCGGGCGGGGACCCACAGAGCTCGTGCCTGGCCTCACCCTCTCATGGTGAATTTGACCACGGCGAGTCTGGAGCCCGCGCCGCTCAGCTCTGGCTGGAAATCAGGATCGCTCCCGACCGGCTTCACCCCCACCATCCTCACAGAGAGCCCGGCAGGGTGGCCGCGACGCCACCTGCTTCGAAACTGAAGAAGATGACCTGGGAGAGGAAGCAGAGACGCTCAAGAAGGCCGAGGCCTGGACAGAAGAGGCGGCGACCGCGGCGTCTACTCCCGGGACTCTCCGTGCCGAGTCACGCCAGGGAGCGGAGCGGCCGAGGGGGCGGGGAGGGGAGGAGGAGGGGAGAGGCGAAGGAAGGCAAGGCGTGCGGCACCCAGCAGCCACCGCGCGGCAGGGCAGCAGGCGCTTGCGCGCCTTGACGTCATTTCCGCGCCGTCCGCTTTGGCCTTCACTCCCCAATCCCAAAACGTGAAGCGTGCCCCTCCTTCGACTGTGTAGCCCGCGCTACCTTGAGCGGCGCAGACGCAGAAGTGTAGGGGTCACGTGCGCAGGCGCAGACTGACACTCAAAAGTTGGCGTATTCCTCCGCGTTTTCCAGACCTGAGGCTTCCACCTAGGTTCATGGGTTGGCACGGTAAAGAGGGCACTTGTTTTACTCCAGGCTTCTTAGTTGCTGTTCAAGGCACCCTCTGGAAGTACTTTGAAGATGCTCCTGTACTGTATTCGGGGCAGGTCTACGCACAAGACAAATTAAGGTTGAGGAAAAATTTATTAACAGGCTTCACTACATATGGGGCACTCTCTGTGCAGTCATTCAGAAAGTATCGTGCACCTGTGTTTAGATTTTGACCAAAAAGATGACACTATCCCTCCTTCAGGAAGTTCACGGTCTAGTGACCGACGCAAACAATAATTTGAATAGGAAGCGATGGAGACAAACGAGATGGGAAGGTGGGGCAGGGTAAACTTGCTAGGAATCTGACTCCTGGATTGAATCTTGAAAGAGAAGCAGGGTTTAGATGGATGGTGACAGAGAATATTCCAGGCAAGGGGACCACCATGTGCAAATGCATGGGTTGTTGAGAGGGTGGATAAGAATAGCTAATATTTACCACATGATGAACGACGCCAGAGATAAGTTCTATATATGTGTACTAGCACATTTAATCCCTGCCCAGTAGGTTCTGTGATTTCAAGTCAAGGTAGGCTAATGCCAGTGTACTCTTTTAAATATTAGGCTAGGTGGCAAATTATTTGTCTTCGGATTTAGCTGCGGAGATGAAATTGGAGGGAAGGTCAAGGTTAGATAATGACTAGCTAAGGAATTCGGATTTTGTTAGGGAAGAGAATGGCAGAATGCAGGGCAATTTTGCGATTACAAGTGTGTTTACAGCCTGGGCAGCGTGGTGAAACCCCCGTCTCTACCGGAAATACAAAAAATTAGACGGGCATCGTGGGGCGCTCCTGTGGTCCCAGCTACTCGGGAGGCTGAGGTGGGAGGTCAAGGCTGCAGGGAGCCATGATTGCGCCACTGCACTCCAGCCTGCGTGACAGAGCCAGACTCTGCCTGAAAGAAAAGAAAAGAAAATCGAAAAAGTGTCTTTAGAAAAGCCGTCGGGTAGCAGCGAGGGTGATCCAGGAACTAAATTATGAAAGCATCTGCAGTGGAAGTGAAGCGGAAAGAATATGTTTCAGAAACAATTATTGGGCCAATTTAGTGAGATGACAGAGGAGTTTAAGAGAACTCAAACATTTCAATCGTGTAGCTTTTTAAAAATGAGTTAAAATGCCTGTAGGATATCCAAATGAGAGGTACAGCAGATCGTGAGAAGGGTGAGTCTGGAACCAAAGAAAAAGGACTAGGATGACGTTAAAGACTTGAGAGTCATCAATTTGTGTGATAGCTGAAGCCCGGGAAGTGCGAAAAGAGAAAGCTCAAGGTGTTGCAGAAAGAAAATAATTAATTCTTAACTGAACTCAGCCACACCAGAGGCACAGTAATTACATTCCTTTTTCATGTGATATCAGCACATTGTAGTGGTTTTAATGGATAGACATAAGTTCCAATAAATTTTTTTTTTGTTTTTGAGACAAAGTCTCACTCTGTTGCCCAGGCTGGAGTGCACTGGCACGATCTCGGTTCACCACAACTTCCGCTTCCTGGCTTCAAGTGATTCTCCTGTCTCAGCCCCCCAGGTAGCTGGGATTACAGATGCACACCACCACACCCAGCTACTTTTTTGTATTTTTAATAGAGACGGGATTTCACCACGTTAGCCAGGCTGGTCTCAAACTCCTGACCAAAGGTGATCCGCCTGCCTCTGCCTCCCAAAGTGCTGGGATTACAGGCACAAGCCACTGGCCCCGGCCTTGCTGCTTAAATTTTATGGCCATGCACAAACTCCTAACCTCTCAGAACCTCAGCTTCCTTGTCTGTGAATCTTGGATTAAAAATACCTGCTTTCTAGGATTGTGACGGTAAAAGGTTATAGTGGATGATGTTTATAAAGAACCAAAATATAAGATACTTGATAAAAGATGTTTATAAACAATGGTGTCTATTCAGCTAATCAACTAGGGTTGCTATAAAAATAGCAAAGACTGAGTGACTTAAAAGAAATTTATTTCTCACTGTTCTGGAGACTGGAAGTCCAAGATCCAAGTGCTAGTAGTGTTGGTTTCTCCTAAGGCCTCTCTCCCTCACTTTTAAATGGCTGTCTTCTTACGGTGTCTTTACATGGCCTTTTCTCTGTGCACACACACATGCACATATAGTACTAGCCTGATCCTCTTCCTTACAAGGATACCAGTCCTATTAGATTAAGGATCCACTCTGATGATGTCATTTAACTTTAATTACCTCCTTAAAAATTATAGGTCCTAGCTCCACTTAGAATCATATTGGGGGTTGGGGCTTCAACCTATGAATTTGGGTGGGGTTGGGGGAGCACAGTTAATCCAGAACAAATGGATTCTTATTATTCCCAACTGTCCTTCCAGTTTTGCCTAAGAAGCAAGTAGAAATGGTCTCCACTACATGAGCTATAGCAGACATGAAGGGGGGAACAGGGCTTATGAAAGCAAGATAGGTTATAGATTCTTAAGAAGCAAGATGAAAAGAGGCAGTGTAAAAGTTAGCTCTGATAGGGACACCATGTGTCCCTCCAGGTCTACTCTCTCCCTTTCTTTACTGTGCTCTCGGCTCTAGGAACCTGCCTACATGGACTGCATCAATAGGATCCTCTGTTGGAGCTTCTTGTTAAGAGATTGGAGGATAGAAGAAAATGAGATCCAGTTAGTAATTCCCTTAGCTCCCTTCCTGCTGTGTTCACAGACTGGCTGTGTCTCCACCAAAGACCACAGCTCTTGTCATACCATTACTCTCTTGGGTTCCTGCAATCACTGTTCTATTATCTCTTTAGACATGGAAGTCAAAATCACTCCAAGCTGTTGGTAGCACCCAGATACTAACCAGAGACACTCTGGGTGTGCTTTGGTCAAGAGTAGGCCGAGGTAAACATCCTGCGTGACTCGGTGAATTTGGAGTACGGGCGCATAACTTTGTTATAAAATCACAGCTATGTAGATATAAAATGGGAAGGCTCATCGCCTGGTTCAGAGCCACTTTTGTTTGTAAAAGGTATAACTGCCCTGATGACGCTGTACATACAGCACAGCATGGCTTGGCTCATGCCCAGAGAGAATTAAGCTGTCCACCCTGTAAGGGAGAGCTGGTTTTGCACACCAGGGAATGCAGCTGCAGGTGTGGGAGCGGCAGAAGCTGCAGGGCCAGAGCAGGCAGCTGAGACAGAAACAGACAGTGTAAGAGAGCTGCTGAGTAAAACCATCTTTTACCTGCCTACAACCCCCCGAGTGTTCTTTCAGCTAGCTATCTGCCACCCATCTAACCAGTCCCTTCAGACCTCAGCATGGGCTGGAACCTGACACTGGGTGTGGCACCTAACCTGATGCTACCTATTCCTGACCAGACAAGAGAGTACTGAATTGGATAGTTCACATAAAGAACAGAGACACTCACCACTATAATCCCAAGGCAGGCACCCATAGGAAACAGAGGTACCTGGAAGCCATAATTCCGAGATGGACTTCCCAGGCTTATAGCATGAACTGCCAGCCACCTAGCACTAGCCTAATTGGTAAGCCCAGATACCACAAGCTAATGGGCAACACCTGGAAAGTTCACTCTCCTAATACCAATAAGGATCTTTTGGTTTAAAAAGAACTACCCTTACCACCCAGAGCCTAGTTGTATGATGAATCTAGTCCTCTTCTTTACAGTTAAACTTTTTTACTCATTGCTCAATCCTTGATGTTGTTGTTTTTATTTTCTTTTTAGCAACACAATTGCTTTTTTTTTTTTTTTTTTCAATGGAGTCTCTCTCCTTCTGTCACCCAAGCTGGAGTGCAGTGGTGCGATACTGGCTGCAACCTCTGTCTCTCGGGTTCAAGCAGTTCTCCTGCCTCAGCCTTGCAGGTAGCTGGGATTAAAGGTGCTTGCCACCACACTGGCTGATTTTTGTGTTTTTAGTAGAAATGGGGTTTCACCATGTTGGCTGGGCTGGTCTCCAACTGATGACCTCAAATGATCAGCCCGCCTTCGCTTCCCAAAGTTCTGGAATTACAGGGATGAGCCACTGGGCCCAGCCTACCATTGCTTTTTTGATTTTCCTAAACCCTATCTACATGTTTGTTAATATTGCCCTTACCAAATTATACTCAATTACCCATTTTGAATATGTTTTTTCCTTTTGTGACTCTGCCTGATATGAAAATTTAAAAAATGTTTAACACCAGAGAAATTGGAGGCTAGAAGATTCACAGAGCAGGCTAGAGATAAATATATGAGAGTTTCCAGCGTAGCAGTCATAGGTGATACCACTAAAGTAGATCATAAGGAAGTATGCAGAAAAGCAAAGAGCTACAACAGAAATTTAAGGACAATTACAAATAGGGAGTAAAATGAGAAACGTTAAAGAAGCAGAGACTCAAGAGGACTGTCACAGAAGTAAAGTGTCAAAGACCAAAAGGTTGAAGGCTGTGAAATGCCTTTTAATGTAGCAAGGGAGTCATTGGTTTTTATCTGAACAACCATTACAGTTCAGTGAATTAAGATTGGAATCAGCTCACTGACAACCACAACAAATTCTTCAGGACCTCCGGTATGACAGGCACTGTGCCATAGCCTCAGAAGTTAAAGATGATTGTTACATGTTCCTGTCCTTCAGAATGTACACTTTTGTGATAGCTCCATTTCCAGGGGTATGGGCTAAAATGGAACCCATAGATAGGTGATGAACCCATATATGTAACTTTATATATTTACTCACTGTATATATATATATATATGTGATTGAATGATGCATTTAATTT